GCCCGCCCCCGAGCGCCGCGCCGCCCGCCCCCGAGCGCCGCCCGCCAGCATCCAAGATGGCGGCAGAGGCGCCTGCCCGGCTGTCAGGCCGGCGGTGACCACGGGAAGCCGCAGAGCAGGTACGGGCCACGGATGGAGGGATGAGAGGCCCGCACAAACGTGAGGGCTATCGGGAGGATGAGAAGTTTGGAGCAAAGGCTGCAGACAAACTCGAGTGGAGCGGGTCCCGGGCGGAGTGTGGACCGGGCCGGGTGGGCGCCCCAGGAAGGTAGGGCGCCTGCAGGAGTTCGGGGTGGGAGGGTGCCCCAAAGGCGCTGGGCTGTAACGCGCTGGAAAGCACAGGCGGCAACCACCCCCTCCAGGGAAGTCAGTCCCAGTGCCCCCGGCGCTGCCCTGCGCTTCCCCTCCCGCCCGCCGGAGCCGAAGCCGGAGCCGGGAAAGGCGACAGGGACGCCTCCCCCCTCCCCCCGCGCCTGGGGCGTGTGCTTGCCGCTCCCAGGTGGTCACGCTCCCTGCACCTGCGGACCTAGTTCCCAGGCCCGTGAAGAGTGGAAAGTAGCCCGTTTCCTGCTCCGCCCTGTTCTCCTGAGACCACTGCACAGTCCAGCCCTGTCCCGGCTGCTTCACCCCCTGGGGACGCAGTCTCCAGTAGCGGCCCTGTCCCCACTCCCCGAACAGGTTGGTCCTGTTGGGGTGGGGGATGGGCGAGGATGGAGTTGACACTCCGGGGTCGCCAGTGGGAGAAGCCAGCATCTTCCCTCACTTCCCCTGCTGGAAGCCCGCTTCCGGCCCTTGCGCGCCTCTCCGTGGGCGGTCGGCTCACCCTTGCCCACTGTGTTCCAGCCGGTCCAGGAGCTCCGTTGGCCTGCTGTCCTCGGCGACATTTCCAGTTTTAGATAATGCATCACATCTCTGCGCCCCCGGGGCCCCCAGGGCCCCCATGATCTGGAAGAAGACAGCTTGAACCTAGGTAAGTCTCTCCCTCTAAACTGGAAGGGAGTTCTCCAGGGACTCCTCTGCAATGGACTTGAGGGAGAGGACTGAGAGGACGTGCAGGAGTGGGTTGGGGAGGGTGGAGGAGAGTGCGACCCGGGCTGGGAAAGGTGGTGGGGCTGCTGGTGGCAACAGCCTGTCTCTTCCCCTCTGCACACCTGTGTGCTCCCTTCGGTGACCGGCTCCTCTGCCTGTTTTTCCTCTTCACCCCACCGCCATCCCTACACCATGCTCTCTGCTGGCTGTGCTCCCCCTGTCTGCCCAGAGCTCTCCTCTCTCCTCCCAGACCTCAGCCCAGGATGTTGCGGCGGCTGCTGGAGCGGCCCTGCACGCTGGCCCTGCTCGTGGGCTCCCAGCTGGCCGTCATGATGTACCTGTCACTGGGGGGCTTCCGGAGCCTCAGCGCCCTATTTGGCCGAGAGCAGGGGCCCACATTTGACTATGCTCATCCCCACGATGTCTACAGTAACCTCAGCCACCTGTCAGGGGCCCCTGCTGTTGCCCCGGGCGGCCCTCTGGCTCCTCAAGGTCTGCCGTACTGTCCAGAACGGTCTCCTTTCTTAGGTGAGTGCAGAAGGAAGGGGAAGGGGAAGGGAAGGGGGGCAAGAGTGGGACTTAGAACAGGAGGCTGATGTAATTGGAAAGTGGGCTGAGGTTGAGATGGAGTGGACTTGAATTTGGAGTTTGGATTGGGCCCTGGGGTTGAGTCAAAGCTTTCTATTGCCTGCCGGTTCACAGGCTTCTTCCTGCCTCCGGTTAAATTGCTTCCTTTGTGGATGAGTCCTGATTTAGGTCGTGAGTTGGAAGTCCATCTGTTCCCTCCATCCCCTAACTGTAGCTTCCAACCCTATCAAGGAGTTATGAAACCTACAATAAGGTAGGCTAGGGAAGGAGCCTGCCCCTTCCAGGCTTTGCGAAGCTGCCCCAGTGATGGGAGCTCAAGGCTGGTGAGATTTCTGAGTGAGTCCTTGGGGGTTGCTGAGCCACAGACCAGGAGGGCCAGGGTCAGAGGTGCTCCTCTGACCCGTGACTTGTCATTTCCTCCAACAGTGGGTCCTGTGTCCGTGTCCTTTAGCCCAGTGCCATCGCTGGCAGAGATTGTGGAGAGGAACCCCCGGGTGGAAGCGGGGGGCCGGTACCGCCCTGCAGGGTGTGAGCCCCGCTCCCGGACAGCCGTCATCGTGCCACACCGGGGCCGGGAGCACCACCTGCGCCTGCTGCTCTACCACCTGCACCCCTTCCTGCAGCGCCAGCAGCTTGCTTACGGCATCTATGTCATCCACCAGGTACACTCCCACTCGGACCTTCTTGAAAGGAAGCCTCAAGTAAATGCCACTCCACTCTCATGTGTGGTCCCTGGAATAACTTTAAGAGGGTCTGGCTGTTGAATGTGGGGAAATCCCTGGCCCTGCTGTGCCTATGGTCAGTCCCATGCTTCTCCTTGTTCGATGCAGGGTATTCCTGGTCCTACACACTTCCAGGATTTTTCCTTTGTTCAATTTGGAATTGGACAGATTTGGGCTAAAATTGTAGTTGTGCCATTTGTTCCATGTGTGACCGTAAGCAAGTACTTAATCTCCTACAATGAGGCAACGAGGGGTGACTGATAGACACCTATTCACATGGTTGCTGGTTGTCAGGATTTAATGCTAAACAGCAGCATGTAAGTATCAGGCACACACTGTTGCTCAAAATATTTTTTGAGTGAAATTTTTAGATCGTCTTTCTCTTCATTCTCTTTGCCCCCCATCCCACTTTGATTTCCCTCTTTTTACTTTTTTAAAAAAGTATATTGATTTCAGAGAGGAAGGGAGAGGGAAAGAGAAACATCAGTGATGAGAGAGAATCATGGATCAGCTGCCTCCTGCACACCCCCTACTGGGGATTGAGCCCACAACCCAGGCATGTGCCCTTGACTGGAATAAAACCTGGGACCCTTCAGTCTGCAGGCTAATGCTCTATCCACTGAGCCAAACCAGCCAGGGCCCTCTTTTTACTTTTATGTTTCAGCCCCTCTCTCCATGCCAACAGTCTGGTCTTCCTCCGCTCTCTTTCAGGCTGGAAATGGAACTTTTAACAGGGCAAAGCTGCTGAACGTGGGGGTCCGGGAGGCCCTGCGTGACGAAGAGTGGGACTGCCTGTTCTTGCACGACGTGGACCTCCTGCCAGAGAACGACCACAACCTGTATGTGTGCGACCCCCGGGGGCCCCGGCATGTGGCTGTCGCCATGAACAAGTTTGGATACAGGTAGAAGGCATTAGAGGATGCTGGGAAGCAGGCGAGCTGAGGGAATTGTGGGTAGCGATGCATACCATAAGACTTGTGGAACCCAAGGATCTTTCTCTCCCCAGCCTCCCATACCCCCAATACTTTGGAGGGGTCTCAGCGCTCACTCCCGACCAGTACCTGAAGATGAACGGCTTCCCCAATGAATACTGGGGCTGGGGTGGTGAGGATGATGACATTGCTACCAGGTCAGACATCCTGACCCACCTCCCTCCCTTTCCCCAGCCTGAATCCCCATCCTGAGGCCACCCCTGGCCGTAGCCCTTTAGTACTAACCTTCGCATGCAGGGCCTGCACTGTGTCATGCCTCTCCTGTCTCTAGTCTGCCCTCCCTTACCCCACCATTACCCTCAGTCTCCTAGATCTTTAGGCTACAGTATCCTGGGACCCCAGAGCAGAAAGGGGCCTACAGCCAGCTCGGTACTCCTGCCAGCGTTGCATCCAGACCACTTCCTATGTGGCCAGGGAGGAGACACTCATAGGACCAAGAATCACTTTTTTTCAAAGCCTCTGCCATTGGCATGAGGCCAACTCATGTTTCATATGTGGAACATGTGACCCTCAGGCTCAGCTGACCCCATTTCCTATCTGTGGTTTGAATATTGGGCTTGATATACTGGATCCATTGCCTCCTCTCCCTTGAGTCCTGAGTGGCGTCTCTGAATTCTTTTTAAGTGTAAAGCACCCAGCAGTTTCTCAATGTGCTCTTCCCAGGCCACCTTCACTTCTTGCTTCTGTATGTTAGAGTTGGGGGCTGGTTTCTGTTCAGGTCCTGGTTCCACTCTGCACGCTGGAGTGGGAGGGTGCAGGGCAAAGGAGGTGGAGCAGCTCAGCTCAGCCCATCTTCTAAGTAAGAATTGCTGAGCTTGATCTGCAACTCTGACTTGTCCTGCACTTTAGGCATAAGGGCTCCTCAATGTGTCCTTCCGAGAGGGTGAGAGCAGCTCCTGGGACCATTTAGGAAATAAGGTGGGAGGTGCAAACCTACCGGGCCAATTGCTGCAAGGCCCCAGGGTACCTGGTGCAAGGCCCTCAGGGTTTGGGACCTCAGCTTCTATGTTCTCTTCAGCCATTTCCTTCTTCGCATTTGACCCTCTCCCTGCCAGTACTTGGCACTAACTGAAACAGTGAACCCCTCTGCCTGACTGCAGTAGTGGCTCTCGGTAGGGAACCAGCAGTCCCTTCCTGGCTGGCCTCAGCTCTCCTTGTGCCCCCAGCCGTTTTCCTCCAGTCGGATACGCCAAGATCTCTCACTTTTCCCACAGGGTGCGGCTGGCTGGTATGAAGATCTCTCGCCCCCCCACATCTGTGGGGCACTACAAGATGGTGAAGCACCGAGGAGACAAGGGCAACGAGGAAAACCCGCACAGGTAGGCAGGGAGGGCTGCTGGGCAGTGGGACTGGACCCTCCGGTTCTGTATTCCAGTCAGAAAACCTCTACAGGCCCCTCGATTCCTGGCTGTTCCTTCCTGGGTCTTAGTCTCTATCCTCTAATCCTCAGATTTGACCTCCTGATCCGTACTCAGAATTCCTGGACACAAGATGGGATGAACTCACTGACATACCGATTGCTGGCTCGAGAGTTGGGCCCTCTCTATACCAATGTCACAGCAGACATTGGAACTGACCCCCGGGGTCCCCGGATTCCCTCTGGCCCCCGTTACCCACCTGGCTCCTCCCAGGCATTCCGCCAAGAGATGCTGCAGCGCAGGCCGCCAGCCAGGCTGGGCCCTCTGCCTACTGCCAACCACACAGCCCCACATGGTCCACACTGACGCCTCCTTCCTGCCTACCTTTAGTCATGAAACTGAACCAGAGGGGTCCTGTTCTCCCTTCCTCAGCTCCCCACTGCTCTTAGAGGGACTGGGGGAGCCACTTACGCTGTGCTGGGGCCGGGGCCTCTTACTGCTGGACTGGAGTTGGGCTCCTCTAGACCTGAGGGCCCCTTTCTAGGGGCACCTGCCAGGATTATGACTGTGAATCCCTGATGTCATGATTGTATGTGGTGACTCCTGGGAGTGCTGCCCCTGCAGTGGGAGCAGGGCTGGACCCCAAGTCCCTTCCTCTTCCGTGGAGAGAAGAGTGACCTAGCTCTCCCGGGACCTCTGTGAATATTTATTCTATTTATGGTCCCCAGGATGTGTTAGGTGAAGTGAGCCCCTCCCTGGGCACTTTCTGCCAGGGCTGGAGCAGCCCTCTCTCTGGCTCTGGCTCAGGCGGCTGGATTTTGATATATTTTCTAATAAAGGACTCAGTCTTGCCTTTGCTCCTGCTTTCTGCACCTCAGGCACCCTTTGCCTGTCTCTGCACCTCCTTCTTCCCCTTGCCCACGACAGGACAGCCAGACCAAGCCAATCTCCCACAACTTTTATTTTCATGGTGAGAGTCCCAGCCAGCAGGGGCAGCAAGAAGGGTTGTGGGGATCATCTGTCAAGTTCTAAGCCCAGGGCCTGGGCTGCTGCCTGGCGCCCACTCTCTATACAGTCATTGACAGCAACTCCCTCATAGGAGGCTCCAGCCAGGGTCAGGGGCAGCCTGCGAGCAGCCAGGAAGTGGGCAGCTGACTCTGCAGGGGACAAGGAGCGTCAGCGGGCCGGAGTTCCTGGCTCTCCTCAGCCCAGCTGTTTCCCAACTTACCCAGTTTTCTCCAGTGGCCTAGTGTGTACTGGGGGATGCAGTGCTGGGGAGAGGAGGAGATAAAAGAAGTTTATGACTGATGTCACAAGCCTTGGTGGACACTGACAAAAACGCCAGGTCCTGCCTTTGATGCCTGTAGGGGAGCTGAGGGCATCTGTCCAGCTCACCTTGTGCAGGTGGACCAAGCAGTGACTCGGAGGCTCTTTCAGTCCTAACTGCGTGGCAGCTGCTTCCTGTGCCTGCCGCTGGAGCAGCTCCCGAGAAGAGGCCCAGCCCCTGGCTTCCAGCCCCTGTAACCAGGAACCTCCAAGCATCACCTAGGGAGAGACGACGGCCCTGACCTACGCTGGGCACATGGGAGCCCCTCGGAAACCCCAGCTAAGCAAAGTTGCCTTCTCACAGTCACTCTGAGGCCAGGGGGGCTCCCATCCTGCTCGGGAAAAGCAACTGAGTCGTACACGATTCCCAGGACGCCTGGGTCTTCTGAGGATGGCACCAGATGTCCAAATCCCTGAGAGAAGGAGATGGTCAGGGGAAGGACTCCATGGGGCCCTTGCCTCCCCTTCCTGTGTCACACCTGGACCGGCAGCTGGGCTCCTCGGTACTGCAGGTTCACCACGGCCACAGACACAGCACGGATGGTGCCCAGGACGCGCGCCAGAGGTGCAGCCTCGGTGGGGAGCAGCTTGCTGAGCACTGGGGGAGCCGGCAGAGGCTGCTCAGGAGGCCTTCCCACAATTCCATCCACCCTTCTTGGGATTAGCCTTCCACAGGATGCGCAATTCAGCGCATGGTATGGGCCTACTGGCCCAGAAACCACAGCTTGCCTCACGCTGGGTGGGGAAGGGAGGTGGCTACCCATTACCTGAAGCTGGAAGAGCACTAATCACATGGTCGGCCTCCAGGCAGCTGCCCCCCAGAGACACCTGAGTAGGAGCACATTTGAAACAGGTCATGGGAATTTTGCCTTAGCTTCCCGGGCACACACGTGGCAGGAAAGCCTGGTAGTTAGCAAAGAAATCACCCCCTTACTCCAGGAAGTGGGCCAGACAGCCAGTGTCCACTCGGAGCTGTTCAGTGGAGCTGGGCTCTCAGCCACTGATAGCACTGTTTCTACCCACAGACTTGGGTCAAAGGGTCTTGGAGGAAGGTCCACAAATAAGGCCCAAGAATCGCAAATGAGGCCCATATTTAAACAGTTTCTGGGGCAGGAAACGAGCAACTCCAGTCCACCAGCCCTGGCTTGGTGAAAACATTTAGGCAAGCCCTGGCCAGGTAGCTCTTCTAGAGCATCACCCCCATATGTCAGGTTGTGGGCTCCATCCTGGGTCACAGCACATACAAGAATCAACCAATGAATGCATAAATAAGGGGGACAACTAATCGATGTTTCTCCCCCTCCTCTAAAATCAATAAATGAAAGTAAATTTAAAAAACACAACAGAACATTTAGGCAAAGATGGAAACTAAGAGACAGGTTCATTACACTCCACAGGCCTCTCCTACCTTCCAGCGTCCTGCCTGGAGGCTGAGCCCACAGACCGGGTGGCCCCTGAGAACGGTGACCCCGCTCCTGGTCAGGTGGGTGTTAAGTGCCTGGGGCAGCATCTCCAGCCCTCCTCGGAGTGACCACTGACTCCAGCGTTCAGCCCGGGCCTGGCGGATGAGGGCCGAGTCTGGCTGTGCGCTCTGCCCTGCCAAGGGGAGGAGGTAGAGCAGCAGCAGGATAGCCTCCTGGCCTCCAGCCGCCGCAGCCCTCCAGGTGCCCGCCCGCGGGCGCGCCCTCACCGGCCCCCAGCAGCAGCCCCAGTAACACGGAGCCATGGGCTTGCTCGGCTTGAAAGAGGCTGGGGAAGCAGGACCGCACGCTGAGCTCCCGGCTACTGCCTGCGAACACTCCGCGGCAGAGGCTGTCGGCCGCCAGAGCCGCCACCTGAGGGCGAGACGGGCCGGTTGTCACCGCCCTGCCCGTCGGGACAGGTGAGGGGGCAGCCGGGCTTGGGCTCCGAAGCAGCCCACCCTCCGAAGGGGGAGAGGGTCGTGGAGGCACCCGCCCTCCAAAGCTGAGTTTTGGAAACTTCTGGGTATGAAAAGACAGACATCCCGGGACACAGAGGAGCCCCGGGGGGGGGGGGGGGGGCTCCAGGCCTCTGGGCAGGGTCACCTCTGGTCCCAGGCGGCGCTCGGCAAAGCTGTGCACAGTCTCGTCAGGGTCTCTGCCCGGGGGGGCGGTCAGGTCCCGCAGCCCGGCCCAGAGCAGAGGCTTGGAGAAGGGGGGCGACGGGCGGAGCAGCCCCCTGCGGGAGAAGCGCAGTGAGGGGCGCTCGGGGCCTCCCGCTCCGGGTTCCCTTCCACCCGAGGGGTACCGGGAGTCACCTGAGGCCGGCGGGCAGCGCGTGCAGGGCGCCGCCCACGTACAGGAACCGGTTGCGGGCAGCCGGGTGGTCTCCTCGGACCGGCAACACTTCTGAGTCCAAGCCCAGCTCAGACACCTGCTCCCCGCGCCCCCGGGAGGAGGAACGAAGAGCTGACCACCACCTACGCACCCTCCCCCGCTCTACCCTCTCGAGGACCCCCTCTCTCCGGGCACCCCACAGCCTCACCAGGAGCAGAGTCCGCGCTCCCCGCGCCCCCGCGGGCCGAATTCCTCGGGGCCCGAGTTCGAAGACAGCGCCGCCGGGCCCTCGCACGGAGCGGATCCAGCCTCCCAGGCGCTCGCCGCCCTCCACCAGCACCACCTGAAGCGGGGGTGGGACTGTGGCCCGGGGTCTCCGACGCCGGGGGAAGGGGCTCTAGGGGCGGGCGGCGCGCACCCCGGGCTGCCCACCGGGCCAGGGATCGGGAGGCTCCCTCCGCGCGGGGCGCTCACCTTGGGGGCCCTGGGGACCCGGCTCAGGTGGTAACTGGCGGCCAAGCCGCTGATGCCTCCGCCCAGCACGACCACGGTCCGGGCCATCGGGAGCCTGGGGAGAAGGGCGGCACGGAGCGCTGATCGGCTCCCTCTCGGCAGAGTCGGACCCGCGCTCCTCCGCCCCCGCCACTGCTTTGCGGGAAACTGAGGCAGAGCCCGCGGACGCGGTGGTGCGAGCGCGAGGCGCCCGTTTGGGGCCCAGGACTCACCCCCGGGACGGACGAGAGAAAGTGCGGGAGGAGCCGGTGCAAGTCCGCAGGCTTCCCGCCCGCGCTCCGCGGGGAGATACGGGCCGCACCCACGCTATCTGCGCGCGCGGCGCGGGTCGCCCCGGCGCGGCCCCCCAGCGCCCCCGCCCCCACGGCCTGGAGGTCGCGCCTGCGCAGCAGCCCGCTTCCCATTGGTGGCCCCGAAGGCCGGTGACGCTCGCCAATGAGAACCTCGGACGGCAGCGCCGGCGGAGGGACGGCGGCCGGTTTCCCCGTGCGGAGCGGGTGGAGGGAGCGCCAGGTCCGGCCCTGCGCCCCCTGGGCCGGCGCTGCGGGCAGTGGCTGGGGCGCGGGGCCGTCCCGGTAAACAGCTCCTGACGGTGGCAGCCCCCCAGCGTGCGGGAGCGAGGGCCCCGGGCCACGCACCCAGCGTTCCACC